TCAAAAATTCTGTATCATCTGATTTTTAGAGGAAGAAGTTTTTATGGTATTTTACAGCATATTAATGGAACCCTGCGAAACATCATCTAAGCACATAAGTACCAACACTGCGGACTGGAAGACTAGCATATGAAACGGTTAAGTTTCAATCATAAAAGGTTGTATAAGAACAGCTGAACATCTGTGTAGGGGAAACACTGATTAAAAGGCCAGCAAAGGTTAATGGGATTCAGGCACATTACCCTTTCTACAAGTGATTCTAAATCAGGTAAAGTCTACTTAAAGAATAGTGGGGGTTTTGAAATTTATGAAACAAAATCTCAGGTTATTGTCTGGCATGAGTAGAGTCATGCATTTTACAGAGAGGGGAAGAGGGGGAGGATTTATGTTTCTCTCCCTCTCTCCTTCCTTTTAGATAAATTATTAAAGAAAGAAACACAGCAGAGTTTCTGCTGAAAAAAATGGATTTACTGTAGTTGGTAATTACTTTCAGTGCATTATGTAGTTCTCACCATATTTTGATTGATAACCAAAAATCAACAAAGATGCAATAATCACTTTTGTAAAAATCACTTTATTTTTATGCTTTTATCATTGGAATGACATAATTAGGTTGAATATCCAGACACTATTTAAAATACATACACAAACACACTTACACATTACATGTATGTTTCAAATAATCTGAGGTATTTCAAGTCCCTTTGTTTAGTAACTGGGTCTTTTAGGGTATATATTTAACTATGTATTAGTGTTTGCTAATTTTTGTTCTCTTTAATCTATTTTGCTTCTTTGTAAGGTTTAATTTTAATTAAATATGCATATAAATGGTTACATGTTATGAAGTTTAAATAATTACTAAACATCCATATGTACACCACTTATCTCAAGAAAGAAAACATTTGTGCATCTCTCTGACTCACCAGAAGGAACCACTAGTCTAAATTTTTTCCCCACTTTCTTATTCTTTTAGTTTTACTATATCTGGATTGATCTCTCAATATATAACTAGTCTTGCTTGCTAGTAAGCTTTCCATAAAGGAAATCATGCTGTAGGTCCCTTCTGGAACTTGCTTTCATAAGTCAGTGGATTCCTTCTGCTACTTGTCCATGCTGCTAGGTATAGCTATGGTTCATTATATGCACTGTAGGACAGCCTAATGTACGGACCTATCACGATACCTAATCCATGTTTTCATGTTTTACTCCTCTAATGCCACTCTTAAATTCCTAACTATGGTAGAATTTCAGAAACATTTTGTTAAATTCTTAAAACATTAAAAAACGTTAGTTACAAAAAGTTTTTCTCAGCCATAATCCCCTTCAAATTAGGTTTAACCCCAAACGTTCAAACCAGTTATACAGTTATGCAACTGAAATTTGTAATGAACCAGTCCAACATGAATGCAAAAAGGAAGTTTTTTCTATGAAAACGAAGTCAAATACTTTGGAAAGACTAAAGAAATGTAGCTAAATCAAACTTTTATTAGGGGTTGTCCTACATCAAAGATTGGCTATAAATTGTACATTTCTAGTTCTTAAACATTTTTAGTTTTATGATTCTGATTTAATAGATTTTCCCCCTAACGCATCAATTATCATAGCCAATCACTTGAGTAAGGGATTCTACTGTATTTATTTAGTTTTACTTTTTTAAATCATCACCCAAGGACATGCTTATGGATTTTAGTAAGAGGGAAAAGGAAGGAGGGAGGGAGGGAGAGAAAGCGAAACACTGAGGTGAGAAAGAAACAATGACTGGTTGGTTCTCATTTGTGCCCCAACCAGAGACCAAACCCACAGCCTGGGCATGTGCCCTGACTGGGAACCGAACCTGCGACCTTTCGGTCTCCAGGATGATGCTCCAACCAACTGAGCCACATTGGCCAGGGCTATCTACTTCTACTTTTATTACACAAAGGATTCAGTTAACTGAGAAAGAAATAAACCCTAATAAGATAAATGCATTAAACATTAGTAAGAGCATTGAAGCAATAGGTAAATAAGGTAGAAAACAGAGATGAAGTTACACTAATATTAAAAACTGAATGTCATGTTTCCATTACCCGTCGCTAAAGATAAACTGGTCTCAGTTTCCTAGCCTTCAATATGACAACGCAAACACAATCATTTATGACATTCAAATTTTCGAGGAGCTTAAAAACAAAACTTGACAGGAAAAGTTCTATCTATAATACTGAGATCAGAAAAAAAATTCTCTGGTCAGTAATCAGAGAGGTTATTTATAAGGCGATAACTGAAACCAGCAGCAAATCTTATAGTAAAATCAGGAACAAGTCCCATAGGGCTGTGTTTTGATGAAATACATAATATGAAACACATACACAAACATATAAATGATTGTGACTTTATGTGTTGATATATTCTTCAATGAATAACAAGTTGCTAAAATGTAGTTTAGTAAAAACAATTGTAAGGAGAGCAAATATTCTGATCTAATTTCCTCGTACTCTGACAATACATTAATTGAGGATTAGATTTTAAAGTAATTTAAATTAGTAGCTCTTAAAAATGTTTTTGGGTAGCATACTGTTTTGAAACTAGGATGAGAACCCGATCAATTCCTCCAAATCTGAAAAAGAATTTCTGGGAAGTTTAAGGAACTTATAAAGCCTAACCATCAAGGGTATACACTCCTGGGCTAGAGAAGTCATTGTGATTTAAGTCCTTCAGACAGTGCTTGGAAAACTTTTTCTGAGCCAACATTTTGAAAGGTGTAGAGCTTAAGTGCATTCAAGATTACTCGTCCTCTTGCCGAGTACCTCAAGTGAAGCTATTTTAAGCTTTAAGTTAAAGAAGAGCCACATGCTTATAATGAATGATCTGTTAAGCTAAGGAAGGCAGGACTCATTTCCTTTACTGAAAACTGAGCTGAATAATGACCAAGCCTCAGATAGCATGTCATGCTCCAGCTGGAAGCTGAGGGACTACTTGTCAATAGAGCCAAGATTTTCCTTGGAAAGCAATTTGGGTGCATTCTCAATACAAGACAAACAACCAGAAATTTCATGCTATAAAGTATGATTGAAAAACTTTTAGCCTAGAAAAATAAGCATTCCTTGGCCATTAAATAAACCCAACTTAGAAAAGCATCCAGTAAAGTACATCCTATTTACTAACAATGTAAATTCTGATATACGTGACAAGCTGCATTACGGGTCTCAATTCTTTACCACTGTGTAGTAATATTAATACCCACACCTTTGACCTGGCCTCACTGTAGGCAAGGTGCTTATCCCTGCTCCATCACTCTGAGCTTTGTTATGTGACTTGCTTTAATAATGGTAGGTAAGCAGATATGACATAGCAAAGGCTTAGCACGTGCAGCTGGGCTTACTCTCTTATGCTCCTGCCTTCTGCCAAAAGAATACGCTCAGGAAGCTGCTACTGGTCCGAGGAGGAGAAACGAGTGGAGCAGATGTGCACCAGGAAATACCTGGAAACCAAGCCCAGGCTCTGCCTGGATCAGCTCGACCCCAAGCACATATGTGAGTGAGAAATAAAGGTTTAGGTTTGTATGAATTTTGGGGTGATTTCTTATGAGGCATTACTGCAGCAGTTACTGACAGATGCAGTCAATACAGGCAGTAAGTTGCAAAATGTAAAAATTAGTACGTAAATTCTATATGGACCTGTGGCTATAGATCACTGAGGGCTCACACACTAAGGGCAGACATTCTTTTTTCCTTGGCGAAGGTAACAGCACACCAAAGTAACAATTCTCATCCACTTTGACTATTTTACTGATAGGAATGCTTCACATTATTTTTCCATCTATAAGATTTATGTTGCTATAGCTCAGCAGCAGGGAGGCAGGAGTGATAAGTCCTAGTGGGGATGAGTATTTTTAACACTGAAATTACTTAGAATTGCTGGTGTTTGGCGACAAAAAGAAGACTGAGTGGTAGTTAGTTTTACCACTGCTTCAGACCGTCTAGATGTGATCTATTCCCTGACTGACTGCACCTGGGACCGACTCTAACCTCGTCTTCCCAGCCCCTTCCCACTACGATTATTAAAACACAGAACTCCAGAAATGGAAATCTAATACGAAAATCATGCAAAATTACCTAAGTTATATATATTAAGTACAGGTAGTACCGAAAATTTATTCAGTTATTTTATGAATATTAATTACAATGAAAAAACCAAGGTCTTTGAATTATAAGCAAATTGGCTTCATAATAGAAAATTATCTCAAATGTAAAGCCCTTCCACTAAACTGATGCTTATTTACTCTATAAATATATTAAGACCATAGAAACCATTTAGTTCCAAATTCCATTTTCTGTGTATCTTACTAACTTTATTCATTACTCTGGCTTTAGACATGTAGATAACCATCTCAATATCACTAAGGCCAGTGAAAAATTGAGTACTTATGCCCCTGGGTCACCTTATAGTCAATTAATGTAGATAATAAAGATTGTAAAGATAACATCAATCTTATTTATTATTAGCATCTACAAAATTCAGTAGGGTAAAGTGTTATTTTTTTAATTATTCAAAAGAAGTTATTATGTTAACAATCTAAAAAAAAGCAACTAATTTTTTTAACTTTTCAAACTAAAATAAAAAGAGCATTGTTAACTGGTATAGTTCATGAATAATCTTTTGAACTTCTGAAACTATAATAGTCCTAACTTAAGAATATTCAGAACTATATTAATTGGAAACTGTGGCTAAGATGAGATGCTTTAACATTAATTTAGAGTAATATATACTCATCATGTGTATAAAATGTATTTAGTATTACATATACATAATAATATATACTGTAGTTTGTTTGCATTACTGCTGGCTTTACTTTTACACAGTTAACAAATCCCAAGCCACAGGCATAAAGGTATAAAATTACCAGCAACAGAAGTAATTCAAATGAACAGACCCAGAGTAAGATTTTTTTTAAAGTAAGATTTTTAAAATCTTACCTTTATTAAGCAAAGTTTATTTACATTTTATATTAAAAGTTTACATACCTGATGATCCCCAAACTATATCCCACGGGGAACTAATGGGTTGCTCCTGTCCTCCAGCTCCACCTTCTTTATCTGTACCTTGAATCCCAATGCCAGCTACGGTGCTCACCATCTCCGATTCCAGGTCAATCTGCAGAAATTGATACATACTTTATGCAGTACATGCTCCTTCTTATTTTATTTTCGTATGCGAAGATTTTCAGTAGAATATATAGCAAGTATTTGCAATACAAATATCCTTTCTTTTAAAAAAAGCTTTAAAAAAGGTAAGTGTAGGGTGATCTTATTATTCAAAAGCACAAGACTCAGTCCTTTTCATTCCTTACCCATCCGTTCCCCAATCTCCCTCCCTCATGTTTCTGCTGGAACTGGTGTTGATCTTATCTTAACTACGAAATGTTTTAAAGGTTAAGTTTACTTGGGGCTCCCGTATACTGCTGGTGGACAGAGTGATAGTTGCATAAAATATGTGGTAAAGCAAGTGAAGTGTTGAGAACAGGTGGTGTGTGTATGGATCTGTGCTGGGAAATTCTTTTAACTTTTTGAGTTTAAAATTTTTCATGGTAAAATGTTGGGGGAAGCATTTCAGGAGGCGAAACGAGAGCCATTTCCCCAGTAGAATACACTAGTTTTCCCCTTATGTGTTAAAGGCAAGACAGTGCAGTGGAGCCAGGACCGCCTGCGTTCAAATCCCAAATCCTGGGCTCACTGGCTGTGGGATCTTAAGAAAGTTACATAATGATCTGTGCCTCACCTTCCCGTAAAGGAATGAAAATCAGCACTATGTGGATGAATGGATGGATGATACCTCGATCAGTAATAAAGCTCTGTATGTGCCCATTACTACCAAGCATAACTGAAATACATTTGCAAAGGAAATATAAATGACCAGAGGTCATTCTTACATCTTCTTTTGAAAAATATCTGTTCAAATCTTTGACCCATTTTTTATTGGGTTGTCTTCTCATTTTTTAATTGTAGGGACCTTTATATTTCATAGATACTAATCTTTTCAAAGGTATGTTTTGTGAAATTTTTTATTATTTTTGGCAGCCAGTGGCTTGTTTTTTCACTTTTTAACAGCAATTTTAATGAGAAATTTAAATTTTAATAAATTAGAATTTATCTTTATTTTTTCTTTTATGGTTGTGTTTGTGTACTGTCTTCGGAAACCTCTGACCACCTGCAAGTCATAAAGATACTATTTTTGTCTAAAAGCTTTAAGATTTCAGTGTTTAAATTTAGGTGTGTGATGCACCTTGAATTTGTATACTGTGTGTGAGGTAGAGGTTATGTTTCTTTTTCCCCCCCATATGGGTACCCAGTTGTTCAAGCACAGTTTGCTAAAATGACTTTCCTTTCCCCCTTGGCTGATTTGATGCTTTTTGGAAAATCAAATGACTTTGTTATTTGGTATGGCATTTCTTCTAGGTATTTCATTTTTTTCTTTATTGATCTATATATTCTTAAGTAACACAGTCTTGATTAGTATAACATTATAGTAAATCTTGACATCAAATACTGTAAGTCTTTAAACTCTGTTTTTTATCAAGATTAACTTAGATGTAATAAATCCTTGACTCTGAATTTTCATGTAAATTTTGGAACCCACTTGCCATTATCCATAAAAAGACCTGATGGAGTTCTGACTGGGGCTGCACTGAGTCTAAAGATCAGTTTGGAGAGAGCTGACATCTTACTATTGAACCTTCCAACCCAATACTGAATTAATTTTTCTTAGCAATCTTTATAGTTTGAATTACACAAATCTTGTATGTTATTTAATTAAATCTAAACTTACTGTAAATATTTTGTTTTTGTTGCTACTATAACTAGAATTTAAATTTTTAATTTCCAATTGACTATTAGTAGTTTATAAAAACAGTTGATCTTCTTATATTGATTTGCATTGTGCAACCTTCCTAAATTCTCGTATTAGTTCAAGTAGCTTTTCAATAGATTTCTTACAATTTTCTACATATATGACATGCCACTGACAAATAAAGACTGTTCTTCCTTGGCAGCCTGCATACCTTTCCCTCCTCCGTTGTCTTATTACAACGGCTAGTACTGCCAGTACAGTGCTTAGTAAATGTGGGGAGAGTGGGGATCCTCACCTTGTTCCCAGTCTTAGAGGGAAAGCATTCAATGTTCCGCATTAAATGTAGCTGTAGTTGTAGATACCCTTTTATCATATTCACAATGTCCATTTCCTTGAGGAGTCTAATTTTTATCATGAATAGGTATTAAATGTTTTAAATTTTCTGACTACATATGGTAATCATAGTTATTATCTCTGATTCCTTTACAACGGTGAATTACATTGATTTATTTCAGCAATATCCTCTAGCATTATTTTTAGTGGCCTCTCTAAAATCTCTTGAAATTATAAAGAATATTATTAATGTAATATCTATATTTTTACTGAACTTGAATCTGCAAAAATGCAATAGGCAGCTAGGAATAGGCTGGAAATAATCTTCTATTTTTTATTGTAATTGTTCAAGTAGTTTATTATTTATTTTTTTATTTTCTTTGAGATAACCTTGATTTTTAAAATGTATCATAGAAATTGATGTAATAATCAAAGAATTCCTCTAGCAAAAAGCCCCAGGTCCAGGTGATGTTCCTGGAGCATTCTACTGAATGTTCTGAAACATTAATTACTATGTTAAACAAAATTTTCCAAAAGTTAAAAAAAAGAAAAAAGAAAGAAAACTAACTAGCTCATTTGATTAGGTGTGATCTTGATTCCAAAACCAGGTTACAGTAGTTCAAGAAATTATAAAGCCATTTAATTAACAAACATAAATTTTTAAATACTATATATAATTTTGGATAATCAATTCTAACTTGACTTTTAAAAAATGTATCATTAGGTAAGCTTTATCCTAGAAATAAAATGATGGTTTCACATACAAAGCTCTATTAGTATAGTTCATCACATGAACATAATGAGGTAAAAAAATTTACACAACTACTTCAACAAATGTAGAAAATTCATTTTATAAAATTATACAAGAGAATAATTCTTAGTAACTAGAAATATAAAGTTTCTTTGCTTCATGAATATTTTCCCCAAAGCTATAGGAAATATTAAACACTGCAGAAAATGCACACACACTCCCTTTATGATTATGAGCATGGCAGAACACCCACTGTCATTGCTAATACTTAAAAAGCAACAAAGATTCTATCCAGCAATACAATAAAACAAGAAGTATATAAATAAGAAGGGAAAATATAAACCTGCCATTTGTTTCTTGCAGAAATGGATAAGCTGATCCTTAAATCCACAGGGAATTATAAGAGACCCAGAATAGCCAAACAATGTTGAAAAAGAAAACTGTGGGAAGACATGCTTAAATGATTTCAAAACTTACTAAAAGTTGTAGCAATCAGAGCAGTGTGGTAGAGATCAAGGGACTAGACTTGAGAGTCCAGAAACAAAACCATGGATGTATGACTAATTGATTTTCTGCAAATCTGCCATGATTATTCAATGGAGAAAAAGTAGTCTCTTCAAAAAATGGTTCTGGGAGAACTGGATATCCACATGCAAACAAATGAACTGGATCCAAACCTCACACCACATACAATTAACCCAAAATGTATCAAAGATCTAACTGTAAGAGTCAGAACTATAAAACTCTTAGGAAAAAACCTGAGTAAATTTCTGTGAACATGAATTTGGCAATGGATTTTACATGTGACCCAAAAGCATAAGCAATGAAAGAAAAAAAAAAACAATTGGGGAATCACCAAAATTTAAACTTTTTGTGCATCAAAAGCATGATTAAGGAAGTAACAAGGCAAACCTTGAATGTGAAAAGTATTTGACAATTATATATTTGATAAGAGATTTGTAGCTAGAATATATAAAGAACTCTTACAATCCAGTAATAAAAACCACAACCAACCCAATTTAAAACTTGGCAAAGAATCTGAATAGACACTTCTCAAAGGAAGGCATGCAAGTGGACCGTAACAAGAGGAGAAGATGCCTGACATCACTGCTCATTGGGAAACATATATCAAAGCACAAGAAACCACTTCTTCATACCTAGCAGGATGGCTAGAATTTAAAAAATGGAAAATTTACAGGTAATGGTGAAGAAATGAGATTGGAACCCATCTATATTGTGGGGAGAAATGTAAAATTGTGCAACCACTGTGGAAGACAGTTTAGCAGTTTCTCAAAAAGTTAAAATATAAAATATAAAACATATGACTCAACAATCTGAGTACTTAAGTACCGACCCAAGAAAAATAAAGTATGTCCACACAAATCTTGCACATGAACTATTCATAATAGTCAAAAACTGGAAACACCCTAAATGTTCTTCACCTGGTGAAGAAACAAACATGATGAAGTATATCCATACAATGGAATGCTAGTCAGCAATGTGAAGGAATAAACTATAGATGAACCTCAAAAACATTATGTAGAATGAAAGAAGACAGACACAAAAGACCATATATCGTATGACTCCATTTATATGAAATGTTCAAGAGACTTTTTGTTTCTTTAAGATTACTGCCATAGGTGGGAATGGGGATTAACTGTAATGGGTGTGACTGGGGGAGTAACTGTAATGGGTTCTTACTGGGAGGATGAAAATGTTCTAAAGATGATTTATGGTTATGATCACACAACTTGTTAAATTTACTAAAAATTCTTGACTTCTATACTTGAAATTTAATGTTATGTAAAATATAGGATTTGTTGGAAAAAGTAAGTACACAAAGCACATGTTTTACACGGTCATATACAAATAAAAAGTTGAATCACACATATCAGATGTGTTTATGCAGAAAAAGGAATGAGGAAGAAGAGGAATTTATAAGTTAATAAATATATTATTCTAAACAAGAGGGAGGTCAACATGGAACAACATGAGCCATAAAGTAAGCTTGGGCTTAAAAAGTAAAATACAATGAATATTTTAAAAAGAGAGGAAGAAATAATAATTTCATTTCACTTCCAATTTTTCCAGAAACCGAACTAAGTCACATACTATAAAAATAACTTCAGGTAACCTAAACTTGTGATTATGCTAGTTAAAAAGTATTTGAAATGCTGTCAGTACTTCAAACTCCGGTAAGGTCCAAAGCAAGAGAAATAACGTACAAGTGAAAAAGGACAAGTCCTCCCTCAGTGTCATAGGTAACATTTACTACTTCCAAACCCTGGGAGAAATCTATGAGGCAATGATCAATTAAAGAAGTATACAACCCCCAAAAGATCATCATAAATACTGACCTTTAAGGACTTAATAAGAACAGAAAACCACTTTTTCCCAAAGCGTATACCATGAAATCATCAGCCCTATGAAAAGTTCTGCCTAAAACCCGATCCGTGGTCAGTTAAGTGTAGAACTAGTGCTGCGCACATATCCCCAGACCAATGTGTTCACCACACAGTATTATTAGCATACTGAAGTCTCCAAGAAGACAGTCTCCGAGATTTTCAAAAAACTAAATGTCTTTTAACTAATAAATCCAAAAGAATCTTTTCATGTAACAGCTTTCATCTTAAAAATTATATACACTTTGGAATGCTTCATTAAAAAGATGTTCATTGCTCAGAAATTCATTCGACAAGTATCTACTGAACACCCACTCTGGGCCAGGCCAGGTGCTAGGTGCTACAGCGTTCAAAGGTCAGGAAAACAGCTTTGGGCCCTCATGGAGATTTACAGAACAGTGAGTGTTACCTATACAATACATGATAACATTGTTAAATGGGCAAAAATGTCAATACAGAAACAGCAAGAAAAGCAAGGAAGTATCTGAAACAATATATTTAAGTCAAATGGATTAGATAAACTTACTTATTTTCAAAAAGGACACTTAAAGACCACTGGATTGCAGTCAAAATGTTCATCACAAAGGAATATTTAAATAACTACATACTTCTATAATGGATATGATGCAGTCCTATCATTCATGTGACTAATATGTAAAAAATAAGTTAAAAAAGGACTGCAGAAGATTCTCTAGGAACATAAGATTCTACCATTTGCTTAAAAAAGGATTGTCTAGAGTCAGACTTTTAACTATAAGTTTATTTGCCCATGAGTCCAAAATTTCTGAAAAGAAAAATTTTAATAATGGTTGGTTACCTGTGGGGAGCTAGAATAAATGATCAGGTCATTTTTTTAACCTTTATTCACCTTTAAATGATCAGGAACTTAATTCTAATTGATAAGTATTTGCAGGCAAAGCAAAAGAACTGAAGGAAGGCAGGGAGTGATATTTTTTCTAGGTTTCAGAAAATTTAACTAAAAAGGACAAATCACCATTTTATAAATAGTGGTTGGGGAAAAAAATCACAAAATGAGGAGCTTTTGGGTGATTAGGCACATTTGTATGAAAACAAGAACCAAAAAAAGGGACTTGAGTGAGGAGTTTATTCTCTGAGGCCACTACAGGCTGGCACACAGTAAAACAAGATAACTAAGAATCAACTAAAACCAGTACCTCTGGAAACAGCTGAATAAGGCTGATCTGAGGTATGTGAGCATCACCTTCTCACATTAAATATTAATGTAGCAACAAGTATCGGTTTTTCTGATTAGAAGTATTAGAGCTTTATTTAAAATGAAAAATTACCTTTCTTATAAGGTGGTTTTCCGTATCTGCCACATATATGATATTGTTCATTATGGCTACGCCCTGTGGTGAATTAAAAGTTGACTCTGAAAATATTCCATCTTTTCTTCCAGGATTGGGTCCTAAAAGATAAACCACAAGACAAAATTTTTCCACTTAATAAAGCCCCCCAAATAAACTCTGCATTTAAAGCTGGGATTTCTACATAAATAACGTGACGTTCTACGTGAACACTGAAATGCTCCGGAGACACCCGTCTCCCCGAGAGCAACGATGCTGCTGCAGACATGGCTGCCTGGTATCGACTACCAGCGCCCTCAACCATCCAACACGCATCAGGAGAAAATGCTCTCGGAAGCATCTTACTACCTGTTACCTATACCAGAGAGAATGAAATACAATTTCAGTCTGTTAGCATTGAAGTGAATGATATTTACCAATTTGGGGAGACATGCTCAGTGGATAATGCCATCGCCCTTGAACAACATGGGTTTGAACTGTGTGGGTCCGTGTGTACATGGATCTTTTCATTTACTTTAAAGATCTAGTTGGCTTTACTGAATGATTCATGAATCAGGCAGCATTCCCATATAATAAATAGAAAGGAGCTCCCTACGTAAATGTTTTTCAATAAATACTCTGTCTTTTCCTTATGATTTCCTTAGTAACATATTTCTCTACTTTACTTTGTTGTAAGAACACCATATATAACACATAATATACAAAACGTGTTCACTGATTGTTTATGCTATCAGTGAGGCTTCTGGTTGGGAAGTCAAAAGTTACATGTGAGTGTTCTTACAGATGGTTGCCACCCCAAACCTCATTGTAGAAGGGTCAACTGTACAATGAAAATTAACTTTCTTAATAGAAAAATACACATACCCATAAAATGTCACAAATAATTCAAGGGGTTCCTAGACCCTCAAGTCCACTCAAGCATTTAATAGTGCATGAACCCTAGGTTAGGAATCCTTCATTCACGACTTCACTTTGCCACAAATACCATCTCATAAACACTGTGCAAGCCAGAGTGATTCTGGTCTAATGGCCTATTTTTCAGCCTTTGCAATACACATGGAGTTTCAACGGCAGAGAGTACACAGCATAATGAAATACAACTGTTATTTCTGTGACCAGATGACAAGCCACTCAAAGCCTCTAGGTCAACATTTCCCAACTCTGCTTTGCATAACTCCAGTCAGCAAGATGTTAGGAAGAGGTAGTACAGTGTACTGGATAGGAACATGTAAATTCAAAGCCTAGCGGACGTGGTTTAAATCCCAGCTCTGCCTCTTCCAGGCTGATGACCTGGGCACATTCTTTGTGTCTCAGCTTGTCTTCTGTAAAATGGAATTAGTAACATTCCTAACTCATAGCACTGGAAGGACTAAGTAAATTAACACAGGTAAAATGCTCGGAGTAATGCCAGACATATAGATATTACTAATATTACCAATATTATTACTAGTATCCATAGTTTTACTATTGTTGTTAATAATAATACTATTATTGTTGGTGGTGAGAGTTCCCTGATGGGAACAAAGGGACAGAACTGTGGTCACTTGAAGTTCGAAGACACTGTGTGCTGCTGTCCATGAAGTACATTAGCAGAGTGAAAGACACAAGAAGTGCGGCAAAAGCACCACCAACAAAAATCTGTTCAATCACATCGACCAATGTTTCCTGAATATAGCTGACCACAGAGCTCTCTCTAAAAAATTCTAGAGTAACTATGTATTTATTACAAGATAAGAGCATTCCTAGAAATATATTTGAGAAAGCTAGTTTGTTGCTACTTGTCTGTTTAACAGAAAAGAGTATTTGCCCTGGCTGGTGTGGTTCAGTTGGTTGGAGCATCATCCTGGAGACCGAAAGGTCACGGGTTCTATCCCTGGCCAGGGCACATGCCTAGGTTGTGGGTTAGGTCGCTGTTGGGGCATATATGTAACCAACTGATGTTTCTCTCCCTCCCTTCCTTTCTCTCTAAAACCAATAATCATGTTGTCAGGTAAGAGAAAATATAGTGTCTGACTCACAAAATAACAGAAATTATCTTTCCATTTAAAAAAATTCACATACACTATTTTGAAAATTATAGAATCTATTAAAAACTCTTATAACCATTTAAGTTCAACCTGTTACAACAGACCCTTTTTTAGTAACAGTTCTCCTGACTGCATGTCATAAACCACAATACTAAGTTGCTAAACAAAATAAACAACGCAAAGGACTCTAACAAAAGCAATGACCAAGAAACAGAACATTCAAGAGCTAAGGGGGTAACCTGGGGCACGAAGGGTAACGCCACCTGCAGGACAGGAAGGGTAACGCCACCTGCAGGACAGCCGAGATCAGTCACTTTTCTCTGTAGTGTGTTGTGCATAGTAAATTAAGAATTATTAAGATTTTATTAATTATGCAGATGTAAGTAAGAGCCCTTTTCGTATCTACGACCAGGGAGATGTGGAACAAAATGGTCTATGCTTGAATGACACTTATATCTTTGCTACACTCAAAGGGAAATGATCCAGAAGCATGCTTACATTTTATGGAAGGAAAGAAAAGGAAAATTACATACAAATGCTAGGTTATTTATTTTATAATCTAAGCCTGAAGTTCCTAGGGTACTGTCCCAGTCTTAAAAAGATAGAAATATGGCTATATTTTGGTGTAAAGTTAAATACAATACTTCCATTTAAAGTGTCCAAAATTCAAAATGTACATAGAGTATAGAGTACATACGCAAATAATGTTCAGCACTGTTTTATTATAACGTTGATAATACTCTGTAGGAACTTAATTTAATTCTTCTTTATATCAATTAGCTCCTGAAGAATTTGTTTTGTTCTATGTCATTTCATGTGAAGTTGCAGAATCTACTGATGATGTTAAATGAGGACTTACTGTAATACTTTCGTAAGATACAGTATGATAGTTTTTTAAAAACAAAATATACAGATATACTTTGAAAGTACTGATTTAAAGATTTCATTCTTTTGACATGAATAGGGCTTTACAGTGATCCCTCACCTATTGCGGGAGTTACCTTCCAGAGACCCCCGTGATAGGTGAAAATCCACAAAGTAGCAGTGTTATACTTATTGTTTATATATATTTTAAGGCTTTATAAACCCTCCCCACACTCCTATAACCCTTTCCCACTCTCTTATTAACCTTTCACACATTCTTATAAACACTTCATATGCTCTTAAACACTTTCTACACTCTTAAACCTACATAATTTTAACAACATATAAAATTCTATGTGGGTACTCACCAGTGAAATATACAGTCGTCCCTCGCTATACTGTGGTTCACTTACTGCGGCTTCACTGAATAAAACCCGTGACACAATATAGCGAGGGATGACTGTATAGGTATCTTTGTTTTCCGAGGGAGATTAATTCAGATACCGCACATTAATTAACAACATAATTTCATGAAGTTAAGAGTCAATGTATACTGCCCTTCTAGAATTGTTGTTTACAAATTTCAATTTTAATGCATTTCCTTGACTGTTTTATTACAATTACATATCATAACTAGAAACAAACTTTACCTCCAATGCTGTACTGAATTTGTCCATTCTTCCAGACGACCAAAATTCTGTGATGTCCAGTGTCTGCTATCACCAACCTCTTCGAGACGTGGTCTACTGTTACTTTGCCAGGAAACAGCAGTGGTGAAGGTGGCAAAGTATCTTTATAGAGCTTTATTCCAACTTTATTATCTGTGATCTGTCCCCTGTCTTTGTAGTACTTTAAAGCTATTGAAGTATACAGAAATAATTTATCTTTGTGTCCCTCCCCAATCAGAGAAAACAACATGTTTCCACGGGGTCCAAGTATGACCAGAGTGGGCCAGCAGGACACCTCCAATTCTTGCCACAGGCTGGCATCCGCGTCATTGACCACGGGGTGGGTGATGTCATACCGAAGAACAGCACTCCTGATGTTGTCCAGGACTTTTTCATTTGGAAACTTAGCTGAGTGAACACCAACAATCAGAAGACCATCTAAATGAAAGAAATCATAAGTTAAGTATTATGAAGTATGAAAGTCTGAATAGCATCATCCACATATTGTATTGGGTCATTAATATAAACAGTCCAGAGAGAAAAACAAGAAAAAAGAACTAAATTAGTGTCTCCAACACATGTATAGAAATTAATATTTAAATCTCATGACAACCTTAGTAACGACATAAAAACATCTAATCAAAGTCATGTGGCTATTTCAGAGTTAAAACCCTTTGTGTCCTTATTCTAGACAAAGCTTTAAAAAACACAATACTTTTATATGAAGATGTTGAAGTTTTGTTAACTTCTCTGCCAACTGTTGTAAGCCTCTTTGAAACTCCAAAGCAGAAAAGATGCTTTTTGTTGGTGTTTACTGTCACGTTACCCTGAATTTTTTTGACCTATGTTATAGGATAACAATGATACAAGCAAGATATTTCCGTAATGTAAGGTCTTTAATTTATTTAAAATTCCTATTATTTTTAGTACAAACCTTACTGTAGTATAAACCTTAAAATCCTTATTATGTAAGGTTTGTTATAGTTGCTATCTACAACAAACCTTATTGTAGATAGCAGAACTGCTAAAAACTAATGACAATATATTTCTTTATTTAATCAATACAGTATGTGAGGAAGATAGTATGGGGGGGAAGAAGTGTTAAACTGAATTCAGAGAAAAAAAATCAGTACTGACTACTAAGGTAGTACCAATGGCTCTGTAAATTACAATTTCCAACACACCCATCAAAGCTACACAAACTGTAATGAAAATAAATAAAAACCACACAAACTGGGATGTGTCATTCCCTGACAGCTCATCCTTCCACTTACAACTATTAACTCCAAACCAAACTGCACACACATACACATACCTCATCTAAGGACTGAAAGAAGTGAACAAAAGCATGCAGACTGTTAGAAATTTGGAAAAGCAAACCACATGAGAGTGTTTCCAGTTTTATTTTGTTTGCTTCCCTTTTCATGGCTTCAAACTGAGGTTCTGATGCAATACATGTGGCTAAAACTCCAACAGACACCCCCACTACCTTTCCGACCCAAAGCACCAGGGGGAGGATGGGAGAGACCCTGAGGGCAAGACAGCTGGAGGCGGGACCTCCCTGTTTCAGAGCACGACTACTCACAAGTCTCGGCTTAACTCCTAAACCACACACGTGTGAGACAAACCCCCAAAGTACAGCAAATGCTTGGAGAACGAGAATGGAATCACTAGGTTGATGGAAGGAGGGAGATGACGAAAGACGACAAAACCCCTGCACAGTGTGAACTAACAGGTGTGAATTTCTAACGCAAACCTGTCAATGTGTTCCCCAGAGGTGCAGACAAAACCCAGAGCTTCCATATCATAACATTTCAAGGTCCAGGATACAAAGCAAAATTACCGGACACTCAAAAAACAAGGTAATGTTACCTACTGTGAAAGAAAAAAGTACAACAGACAGATACACCAAAATGAGGCACATTACTTCAGATAGTACATGAAATCTTTGAAGGAGCTGTAACTATACTCCATAAGGTAAACAAACATACTCTTGAAATGAAAAGATAAAATATAAAGAGAAACAGGAACAGTAAAAAAAAGAACTAACTACATAAAAACTTCAGAACTGAAAACACCATATTTGAAATAAATTCACTGGATGGACTCAATGGCGAAAAGGAGACGCCAGAGGAAAGAGCCAAGGAACCTCCAGAGAGCTCCGCGGCCCCTGCCCGCACCTCGGGGGCGGCTGCAGGCCTGGAAGAGCCACACCTGCAAATCCCTTTGCATCCTGCGTGGCCAAAAAAGAGGCTCCATAGCCGAGGCTCGTAAATCGGTGTTATTACCAGTAATATCACAAAATATAAACTATGCTGTCTGTATTTCCCTTACGGCAGTGTAACAATTATATTCATTTTCTGTCTCATAATATTGCCCTGTCCCGCCTCTTGCAATACAGTCTATTATTCTCTGTCACTAAGGAAGAACTGTGGATTGATAAAGAAAACAATAAAAACAATTCAGCTATTACCCTTAGAAAAGTAAAGCCAGCTCAACAGAAACCATCTAATCTAAAGAACACAAAGAAAGAAAATTAAAGGAAAAAAAAGAACAGAATCTCAGGGACCTGTGGAATAGGGATCAGCTCCCAGATTTCTAATGTGTGTAATTGGGGTCTGTAAGGAGTGGGGACAGAGATTGGGGTAGAAAAATAATTGAATAATGCCAAAACTCCCAAAATTTGGTTAAAGATGTACATTTACATCAATGGATAGATCATCCAGACCAAAAAAAAAAAAAATCAATGAGAAAATGGTGGCCTTAAATAACACATTAGACAGATACACCTAACATACGTATGTACAAAACTCCCATTCAGAAGCAACAGAACACATTATTCTCAAGAGCACATGGGACGTTCTCTAGAGTAAACCATAAATTGGGACGCAAAATAATTTTCAATAAATTTAAGAATGAAATCATATCAAGTATCTTTTCCAACCACAACAGTAAGAAACTAAAAGTCAACTACAAGAAGAAACTGGGGAAATCATAAATATGTGAAGATTAAACATGCTACAGAACAATTATTCAATCAATGGAAAAATCAAAGAAATAATACATAAAGACAAATGAAAATGAGAATATGGCTTATCAAAATCTATAGAATATAGTGCTATGAGGGGAGTTTACAGCAATCCAGGCCTACCTCAAGAAACAAGAAAAACCTAAATAACTTAACTCCACATATAAACAAGAAAAAGAGCAAACAAACCCCAGAGTCAGGAAAAGAAAGGAAATAAAAGATAATAAAAATCAGAGCTGAGCCCTGGCTGGTGTAGCTCAGTGGATTGAGTGCGGGCCTGTGAACCAAACAACTGTGGTTCGATTCCCAGTCAGGGCATATGCCTGGGTTGCAGGCCAGTTCCCAGCAGGGGATGCACAAGAGGCAACCACACATTGATATTTCTCTCCCTCTCTCCTTCCCTTCCCCTCTAAAGATAAATAAATAAAAATTTTAAAAAATCAGAGCTGAAACAACTGAAATATAGACAATACAAAAGATCAATGAAAGCAAGAGCTGGTTCTCTGAAAAGATAAAACCAACAAACTTTTAGCTACTCACTGAGAAAAAAGAAAGAAGGCTCAAATTATTAAAATTAGAAATGAAAAAAGAGAAGTTACAATGGATACCACAGAAATACAAGAATCATAAGAAACTAACAAAAACAGCTATATGCTAACAAATTAGAAAATTTAAGAGGAAATGGACAAATTATTAGAATCATACTGAATTTGACTAAATCATGAACAAACAAAAAATCTGACTAGAACTTAAACTAGTAAGGTCGAAACAGCAATCAAAAACTCTGAAAAAACAAAAGCCCAGGACCAGACGGCTTTACTAGTGAATTCTAACAATATTCAAAGATTTTATACCCATCCTTTTCAAACTCCTCCAAAAAACTGAAGAGAAGGGGAATGCTTCCCAATTTATTTTACAAGGCCAGCATTACAGTATCAAAGCCAGACAAGGAGAACACATAAAGAAAAAAATTATAGGCCAATATCTCTCTGATGAACATAGATGTAAAAATTCTTACTGAAATATTAACACTAGCAAACTGAATACAACAAGACATGAAAAGGATCATACGCCACAATCAAATGGGATTCATACGAGAGCTTCGAGGATGGGTCAACATCTGCAAATCAATGTGATCACCACATTAACAAATTAAAGGATAAAAAATCATAGGATCATCTCAATAGATGCAGAAAAAGGATCTGATTAAGATTCAACACACATTTATTTTAAAAACTCTCAATGAAATGGGTAGAGAAGAAAACTATCTCAACATGGTAAAGGCCACATATGATAAACCCACAGTTAATATCAAACAAAACAGTGCAAAACTGAAAGCTTTTCTGAAGATCAGGAGCAATACAAGGATGGCCACTCTCATCACTATTAATTTAACACAGTATTGAAGTCCTAGCTAGAGCAATCAGCAAAGAAACAAAAGGCATTCAAATTGGAAAGGAAGACATAAAGCTGTCACTATTTGCAGATGATATAACTTTATATATAGAAACCCTAAAGACTCCACCAAAAATTATTAGAAATAATAAACAAATATAGTAAAGTTGCAGGATATTGGGTTGGCCAAAGAGGTTTTTTTTCCCCATAAAATAGAACACAATTTTCATTTCACCAATAACTTCACTGACTTGGATATTCTGATTATGTCGGCTATCTCCCGCATGTTAGAACACTGATTGTTCTCAATGTCTGGATTTTATCACTATCAATTTTAACTTGTCTACTTGACTGTGAAGCATCATCCAGCAAGAAATACCCAGCACGAAACTTCACAACCACTTTTGATCCATTGGATCACTCACAGTGCCTTCTCCATACACTGCACAAATCTTTGTGTTTCAATTGCCTTTTACCTTTCCTGAAATAATAAGTAAAAAGTATAATATGCCAAAAATATTGCATATTTTCTTCCATCTTCAATATTAGAGTGGCTACATGGAAATTCACCAATTTTGGTAAGTCTTTTTAAATGCATGCTGATATGACAGCTGTCACAATACAATCTGACAAATTTTTTTCAAATGAAGTTAAACACAACTAAGAACTACTAGAGCCATCTTACAGAAAAAAACCAAATGAACTTTTTGGCCAACCCAATAAAAAATCTGTTTACAAAAATTGCTGCATTTCTATACACTAACAACAAAAAAACCTGAAATTTTTAAAAATCCCATTTATGATTACAACAAAACAAGTAACTAGGAATAAATTAACTGAGGAAGTAAGAGATGTGTACACTGAAAACTGTAAGACATTGATGAAAGAGACTGAAGAAATGGAAGGATAATCTATCCTCCCAAACTGGAAGAAACATCATTGTTAAAATGGCCATATTACCTAAGCAATCTGTACATGTTATGCAATCCCTATTAATAGCCTGATGATGTTTTTC